ACCTAGAAGTCACATTAGACTGCTGCCTCACCTATAAACACCACATTCAGAAGGTCAGCAGTAAAGTTTGTGCACAGGTAGCTGCTGTATGATGTTTAGCCAGCACAACGTGGGGTGCCAACTTCAAAGTGCTCAGAATCACTGCACTTGCAATTATATGTATCCCAGCAGAATATTGTGCTCCTGTATGGTCCAGAAGTTGTCTCACTAAAAAGCTCGACACTGTACTTACCAGTGTGCTGAGTTCACAACAGGCTGCACAGCCTACACACGCACAGATGTACTCCCTGTACTCTCAGGCATTAGAACAAGTGATATAAGAAGACAGACCCTAACATCATTACTAGCAATCGAGGCAAGAGATGATGAAAAATCACTTGCTTCATCAACTGTTAACTGAAAAACTGAACAGATGGAGGCTTAAGAGGCTTAAAAGTTGTAAACTGTTTGTACATGAAGCCCATAAGCTCCTGGAAGAGATTAAGGATGCTGAACCAAACCTATGGGCAGCAACAGTGGGCCAACTGCTGGGAACGGTCAGACCTATTCCTACAGCTTTTTATACCAACACCAAATTAGCTTGTTGGGAAGGAGGAGCACTTTCACTCCACATCAGTTGAGAAAACACACATGGCCAGCACGTCATCTGGGCACACTCTTGAAACAGAAGTGTGGGTCAAGCTGAACACTGAGATTTGAATATGGACACTTCACAACACTTCAAAAGGTGAACATCTTGGACAGCCCCTTTGTGAATTCAGTGTCCATCAAACAAACAACACAGCACTTAATCAAAAGCTGCTATCTTTACAAATGTCCAGAGAGGGTAGCTAGAATCTGTATATTGAGTGATAATACCAGACTGTAGCTCATAGATTTGGAAGTTGATATCTGAAGCCATATGAAAGAAGTCCTGGCCTCCCATCAGCCCCTAAAAGCATGACATTTACTTGGGTACCAGGAGTTTTTACATGTTAGATTTAAGTGAAGGGCTGTGGTTGTGTTTTGTTTAATTCTGCGCTTCTGGCCCAAACCTTTATGGTGCATATTGGTTATATTGGAGTTTTTCCCCCAGCCACTGCAAAGAACAGAAACCTGCTTTATTTTAATGAAAATCGAGAGTCTCACGTATCCCTAGGGGCTGAAGCTACAGGTAAACATCACGCATGACCAGATTTGTGATAAAATTGAGACCCCGAGTCTGTAATACCAAAATACTGCCAATTTTCTTAATCCACAGTTAAATATTGTTATGGCAGGGCCAGCTGATAGTGCCATTACATGGGCTTCCAAGTTCTTTTTTAGCAAAGAAGTTTTTATGATCTTGAGATTATGCACTAGCTTTCTGATGAAGCTTCTTTGGGGCAGCAGTTGGACTGAGGCTCCACCCAGACTCTCCTTCCACAGAGAATCAGCAAGCCTTTTCTCACACTGCCCCAACATCTGTTTCCAGTGGGTCAAGACAATGAGTACTGTAATTGCTGTAATGTACATGGGGAAAGAAAAGTTAAGGCCTGCCTGAGGCCATTGTGGTCTAAGGGTATCATGATGGATTTAGATTCAGGAGACTGGGTGTTCAGCTCAGCTTCAGTACTGACTGTCTGTTTTTAGGTGGGGATTGTATGTGCCAAGGAACAAGGGGAGAAGAGACAAATGTGACTTTGTGGTCTGCAAAGGATAGCTGCCCTAATTGTTTCTTCTCATCCACAATGAAGAAACATGTTAAGAGGAGGACTCCTGGGTTAAAACCCAGATGATGTGCTGGCCATGTGTGTTTTCCCAGTTGAGGTGGAGTGGAAGTGCTCCTCCTACCCAACAGCCTCAGAGCCAAGTCCCCAGCAGGTTTGTCTTTCATTTCTCCTGCCATCCCCTCCCCAAACTTAGGGTCCAGTTGTACTCTTGCTAACAGCACTGTACCCCTGGTTTTCATGTGTGTAACCAAGACAAAAAATCGGGCTCTCCACAAGTCAGGGCTTGGAGAAAAAGATAGGTTCCATTCTCCCAAGTTACTCCCAGGCAGGCTGACCGGGAATAAATACTTGCTGCGGAGACAGTTTTCATATGCCTTTATTCTGAATGGTACAGGATTTTTACAGGCACTGTGCGTTGGTGTTTCAGACCAGTTCAGATTTTCCCTATATCACCCAAT